CCAGGAGCTGGGAAACGGGAGGCGGGGAGCAGCTCCCTGTGCCGGTGGGTTGTTTGCCGGGGCGGGGAGGGGGGAGCACATGGAGCCGGCGCCGTGTTTTTGCGGGTGTCCGTGGGTTTTTCTCATCACCCGCTGCCCGGGTGCAGGAAAAAAAAATACTTGCGGGGCCGCTGTGCCGGCGCTGGAGCGCGGTGCGTGACGGTGCCTTGTGAGAAGTCCCGCGGGGTGGGCAGCGAGCGGCCCTGAAAAGCCCCGACTGGTAGCAGCCGGAGGGGGGGACACAGGGCGGCAGCACTGACGCGGGGCTCGGCTCCCCGGCCTGGCCCAGCCGCTGCGGGGGGCTGCTGGGGACAAGCCCGGTCACAGCTCTGCGCTCCCCCCGAAGTGAGCTCCATCAGCCGCATCCTGCGGAGCAAGTTTGGGAAAGGCGAGGAAGAGGAAGCCGAACTGGAAAGGAAGGAGGTGGAGGAAGGTGACAAGAAGGCCAAGCACAGCATTGACGGCATCCTCAGCGAAAGAGGTAAAGTCCCTTGTCCCTCTGCTTTCCGTGGAGCCCTGCGACTGGCCAGTGTCAGCCCCGGGTGCTGGTGGGTGTCGCTCCCCTTCTCCTGGAGGTCATCCTGGGGCCAGTGCAGCGGGAGGGGTAGGATGAAGAGCTGGCCCCGACGGAGCAGCTGCCCTGTCCCGTTCCCCCACTGGCACAACCGCGCAGTGTGCGGGAATGACACAGAGGTGGGGGCAAAGATGGAGATCGCCACTGGCTTGGCTTTCAATAGCAGGGACGGGGGCCAGGGAGCAGGGAGGGCCGGAGCCGGCTGCGGAGCCCCCGGCACAGCCACGCAGGGCAGCTTTCCCAGCCCAAGCTGAGCAAAAGGCCACAGCAGGGTGGAAGGGGCGCTTGTAGCCAAAGGCTGAGGAGCCTCAAGTCTCTGCAGCCGTGGACAGGGCAGGGACCCGCATGTTTCATTTCTAAAACTGTTGGGAAAAGCTTGTGTTGGTGGCTGGCCAGGGGCTGCGGGGAGGTTGCAATCTGAACAAGGCGGAGACGAAGGGCTGCTGCCGGTCCCGCGGCCGTGCCCGGCTCCCTGGCTGGGCCGGAGCCGAGGGGCAGGCGAGGTCCCGACTGGGCGGCCGGTGCGTGGAAGTGGCTGCCCAGCACATGCACAGGCACTGGAGAAGGCGAGACAAAAGTACCAAATGAGCTGGTCAAACATTTGTACAACTTTTCCAGCTTTTACAAAGAAGGCCTTCTATACACAATCTACACTTGGAGATGAACTTGGAAAACAAAGAGGGGGGAGTCCATTGAAACTCACACTTTGGCTTTGCACAGACAAAGCTTCAGCTAGCAGCAGCTTGATGTGAACAAAAGAAGGCAACCTTTTTATAATTCAAGGAGAAAAGAAGAGAAAACAGCCCCACAAAAGGCTGAGAAAAGACATTATGGGCTTGCAATGAGGGATGAATTATTCAATGAGCCCCTAATAGCTGATGCTCCACGCAGTTTTATGGACTCTCCACTGTGGAAAAAGTAGTTGGCTTTACCTAGAAAATGTTTCTAGCATTTCTAGACATCTAGTGTTGCTGAGTGCCATTCAAGAAGGACAACTGAAACCTGTTTTTAACAGTAGGGTATCTCCTTGTTGTGTAGGTACAAACCTGAAAACACTCCCAAAACTTAGTTTTCAACTCCATTATTAAAGCTTTCAGGGAAGCCTCATCTTCTGCGTGTCTGTCTTTGCGTGGGTGCGTTTAATACAAACACACAGAAGATGCTAACAAAGTAAGAGGTTTTCAAGGCCAGAAAGCACAGGTTGATTGCCCAGTCTAGCTGCCCCTATATGATGAGTCCAGAGTTTCCTCCAGTATCTCCTGAAACAGATGACTGTTCCGAGAGGGATGTGCACCAAAGGAAAAATTGCTAAACTCAGTGTCCTAGTTGTTAAAATAACTATCTTTTCTGCCTTCCTGAATTTCTCAACAGAGGTTAGAAATGGAAGATAGAAAGCCTTGATAATATCCCTGCTTTATGCAACAAAGAATAATTGATAGAGATAGCAAGAAAAGGTACTATTATCAATATAATCCACACCACTACTTCTCTTTGAAACAGTCTTCCTGTTCTTTGACTCTTTAAAGTGGGATTCCTCATCTACCGTGAATTGGTGTCTGGGCACACGGCTGCCACCTTCCAGCCTGGGGGAGCCCTGAGACTCTTCCAGGAAAAGCAGGAGGGCTGGTGGTGGCTCGTTGCAAACAGGGGCTCGCTCGTGCCCCCAGCATGGGTGTATGAGGAGGCTGCGTTCTGCCCTCCAATGTACCCTCTCCTTCACTTCTTGTGGGTGTGAGTGTCCTACTTTGCTTCTGTGAGTTCAATCACTGGCAGAATTGCCCTTGCCTCAATGGGGTAGCACAGCCCTACCCTGTACTTGCGCACGCACACAGGTTTTTGCTGGATGAACGTGGCTGGGCGGTTATGTGCAAACGGCAGCTTGATAATCCTGTCTGTTCTGTGACAGTGCCTGGCAAGGTTTGGCAGTTGGAAGGGGAGCATGCTTTTCCTGCAGCAACGCCTGTCCCCCCTCCCTGACTAGCAAGCTGTTGCTTAATCTTATTACTGGAGTGGCCAAGATGCTGCAGTGAGAAAGAGCTGCTGCTCAAGAAAGGATTTGTTACCATACACATACCTTACAGATAGCATGATACTATAGAGACAACAGACCAGTGAGCTCATTACAAGAAAAAAATAACCTTAAAATAAGTCCAACACTACTTTTTGTATCCGGCCAACAAAAAAAGGTTCTGCTTCAACTCCCATTGCCAGCAGAGGAACTTCAATTTCACTCCATCTATAAAAATCATCAGATCAGATCCTGCTCTCTTACTGAAATAACTGGCAGCACTTCTGAGGATTTTGAAGCTGCGGGATTGTATTTGCCAGAGCCCCCCAGCCTGGCTGTGAGGCCTGGTGGGGCAGAGGGTGCCTGCTGACAACGCTTGGGTGGCTGGCAGTATGTCTGAAGGTTATCTTGGCAGTGCACAGCAAAACCCTTGTGTGGTAGCTCACCGCCGAGTGCTCTCCATGGGTGTGCTCCTCGTTACAGAGTGAAAAAAGTGCAGAGTCTTCTGCAGTATGAGAAATTTTTATAGCTCTCGTCTCAGGGGCTCAAGGTATCCTGGTAGCAGGAGCGCGGGTGTGGGGAGATGCAAGGGAAGGCTGTGAGGTAGTCAGAACGCCAGTCCTGGGGCTGAGCGTGGAGTGAGGAATTGCTCTCCAGCTCAGGAGCCCACAGCTAGTGCTGGACATTTGCTGATGTTGCCTGAAATCTCCTCCTCACTGCAGACATTTGAGTGGCTCGGGGAGAGGCATTTTGTCTGAGGGGAAGGATAGGAATTGTAATTTGAATTGTAGCCAATTCAAGATTTTGGATTTGGGGAGTACTTAGAACAGAGTGGGATTAGAGAGAAGAGAAAATTTTTTTTTTTTTTTTAAATGTGTGCTAGAAACAGGGTATCATGAGGCCTGGAATTTCTCCCATCATGTTAGGTTTAGATAAACTTTCATATGCCCTACTGTGGTTCTGCTTTGGCCTCTCTTCACGGACACTTAAATATGATTCTTGCATGGGCATTTACAGATGCTGTGTGTGCAGCTCGCTTTGCTGTATTTCGACATTTCTGTCTGTGTCATCCTGTACTCTGATTTTGGATATATATTTAAAGAAAACCTTGGTTGTCACACTGCCTATCAGGAAGCTTATAATTCTAGAATACCATATCTGTATTTCTGCATGCATGATACATTTTTCTTAAAGGCATAAGACATAAATAAAGAACATGAGAGAGAAACTTTTGTGCCTTTATATGGCACATCAGGGCATATTTTTAGCATAACCGCTACAGAAGAGGGAGTCACTTGTACCTTTAGTGGGAGTTATGCGTGGCATGGTTTGCTGACTAATCTGATAACTCCCCCCTTCATAAGATAGCTGTTGTTTTCTGGCAGAAACCCGTGGCTTTCAGCCCTCAAACGATGGGGCGTAGAGCTGGTCCTCGGGCCTGCTGCGAGCGGGCGGTGCTGGCTGGGGCTGGGGCTGAGGTGGGGGCCGGGACCCCTCCACCCGCCCTCAAAGGGGGCCTCTGTTCCCGGCCAGAGGAATTGGCCCCGGGGCCCTGTCCTGGCGGATCCTCCCCCAGTCATGCGCACCCGTCCAAAAAGGGCCCTACTCATCCCAAGCCTCTACCCTTGGCTGTACTGAGAGCAATTCAGGCTACAGCAGACTAAATTGCCTCCTTTATTTCCTTCTTACTTTCATCTTGGACCAAACCCTTCCCCCCTCTCCCTCCCCTTCCTCTTTTCTTTTTTTTCTGTGTGCCTGAGGCTCACATTAATACAATTTCGGCACCACCCCTATTTTTGTGTGTGTATGTGGGGAGTTTGAAGGGGGGGGAAAAAAGGACCTTAGCACAAAAGCCCCGCTCAGCAGCTAGAAAGTTCAAGCTGCTGCTGCTGCTTCTCTAGCTGTGTGATGCTTTTCCTGTTTGTGAGTTTTGGGAAACATTTTTGCTTTGTACTGTAATGGAATTAGAGGACAGATGCTGACTGTAAATGGGACACGCGACTACCAGCCCCTAGCTTAAATATTTAGATGCAATGTTACAATTACTGACTTGATGCACAGGCTTTGAAGTGGTGGCACATGATCTAAAGGGTAGCTCAGGCTAGATGGGTTTGCAGATGTTTTGATTAGGGTTGGTCAGTATCATGCAGCCAGTTATTTTTAGGTTGTTAAACTAATAAAGGCAGTTTATTAAGGGACAGGATTAACATGCAGCACCAGATACCAGTTTGAGTCATCCCATTCATTTCTGTGTTGTAGGCAGTTGGGTTAGTGGCCAGAGCATGGGATGAGGCAGATGCTGAGTTAGATTTCAGTTGTGATTTTCTGATGCAAGGCACAGCGTAATTTTGTTCCAGCATCCTATTCCGTCCCAAGGTGCTGTAGTAAGAGGACATACTCGCTGTGTGAAATAATGTGTCTTATGGCTGAGAAGCACGAAGTGTTCCCACACTCAATGTTCCCAGCAAAGATTCACTTATTGAATGAAATGTGATGACTGTGGCTGCAGGCTATCTTCTTGAGTCTGGAATTTCATACAGTACTTTACATATTTGGTCACTAGCAGGTCTAAGAAATCAGCTTGTCGAACTTGAACAAAATTTTGTTTCTGAGGCTCTCAGAGCCAACAGGAAAATAATACTTCATTAGGAAAAAACTCGCCAGTGACTGCAGGATTTGGCTCAAGGCAGATAGTGCTAACAGTATTTTCTGTCTGTCTTTTTCCTCTTTCTTTCCTCATATCTCAGTGTGTGACTGTCCAGTCCTGGACAGAAAAGCCAGGTGCTGCACAAGTGCAAATCGATGTAGGCGATGCCACTCAAACCGAATACGGCTTTGTTTCTTCTGCCTGACCCGTTGTCACTGTGAGGCTCTGGGCCAGGCTCCAAATCATTATTCC